GTGGCCAGATAACACAGCTCCACACCAACATTTCTTTATTCCCTCCTCCTCTTTTTTGTCTCTTCATTCTTTTTTTTTATACCTCCAGTCTCATTATTTCACCATCCCTCCTCTCTCTCTATCTCTCTCTCTTTGTCTGTTTCTCTGTCTCTCGTCCAACCGCACATAGCTACCTAACTGGGAACATGGCCTTTAGAACTGCGGTATTTCCTCTTGACCCATTCAACTATTCAACGCCTGCATGGTCAGCAGGAGAGGATGACTACGAAGGAAATTATTCATTAAATTTCAGGCGAAAGAATGCCACTTTGTTACAGTAACAGGGTGCAGCACTGATTTAAAGGGGTGGAAAAAATGATGATCTAACACGAGTTGCTGTATGCGGTTATTAAAAACATAACGATTGATCAAAGAAGCTACTTGTGTGTGTTTTTAAGTACTTTCTGGGTATTTTCTTACCTGTGTTGGAGAGCTGATGGGTAACAAAGGGAACTGAGGACATTGCAATTATATACATGGTCATTGTTCAAAACTCATAGGCCACAAAGACGCAAGTGTGTTATTTTTAATAACCGCATGGATCAGAGTGGATTATATCAGAGGTTAGTCTCAAGTCCAGAGTCGAGTCCCAAGACCGAAACTGTGAGTTCATAATGTGCTCTTCGCCATATGAAATGCAATTTTAATAAAAGAAGAAGAAAACATCTTTAGTATAATTTTTTTCCAATTTGTAACGTTAGTTCTTCAACGTCTGTCCTGCAACTTCATTGGACGCTGTCGGATTGGTCCAAACAAAGTGAATCTTGGGAAGTTTTGACTTGCTGGGAATAAATAGTGTTAAGTTGTTTTAATAAATGAAGGGAAATTAATTGATTTGTGGCTGACTGATTCTTTTTCGTCTTTGGGCTTGGGTTAAGGTATTTTCAAGTCAAACGGCTACAAGTCTAAGTAAGATCACGAATCATTGGTGTTAAAGTCCAAGTCGAGAAGTCTCTTTTGACTTATTCGAGTCCAACTCATGTAACTCTGGATTATACTCCCCTAACTACAGCTAACTTTGCATATAGTCCCAGCTAGCATTAGCTACTAGCAGACATTTCTTTCTGTAATATATGTCGTGGTAGCTAACCAGAGAAAGTTGCTTCATTTCTAAATAATCAAGCTATCAAGAAAATGTGGTAATGTGTTTTCTACTCTCCTGCAGCACATATGCATCCAGCATTGTTTGTATGGGAAACCTGTCTATGGGTAAAGCATCCAACTTCCTCTGCCTTGATACATTGGGAGCATATCCGTGTTCCTTTGGGACCCTGGGAATGAATGACCTCGATACAGGAACCTTGAAATTCCCAGCATTGTATTTAGCATTCAAGCAGTCATGATTTAAACCCACTGAGCATCATAACGTGCCAGTGAACTACAATGACCTTTAACATACAGTAGACTTTAATGCAGCACATCTGTGCTGTTTGAATGAACGCCAAAAAAAACAGTTGCCTTGGTTATCAGATGTAGGAACAGCCACTCAAAATCAAAAAGGCCTTGAGAGTGAAAAATAGGACTAACTGAGATTTAGAAACAAAATATGAGCAGAATCATTGCAGATCCCAGTGCTGGTGAAGTTAGACAGCAATCTGTTGGAAATCACCGAGTTTTAAAATGTGGTTTGACGTGAGTCCAATGTAACCGATGTCTATGTGGATCATATAAAACCTGCAATTATAAAGAGGAAAATGGTAAACAAAACAAACACCACAGATTGTGATAGTGAGACACCGTGACTAAAACAAAACCTGGCTGTATTCGGAGTTCCCGGCTAGAAAAGAGAGCTTATAGCTTCTTAGTCCAGCATGCCTGACTGTATTAATCTAGTACTGTAATCCAGCAGGAGCAAGGTAAACATGGAGAGTAATTGGCCGCAACCAGAGTGGTGACACAGTCGGGGGTTAAAGCAGTCAAAGCTTGAGTAGTTTAAGGGAAAATCGCCAAAGCTTCAGAAGAATTTGTTGTGATCAAAAGTATATCTTGTTATCCCTCGAATAAACGATAGCGGCTGAAAAACCACTGGAAGTGCTCGATGTACTCAGAGTATCTCCCAGAGTTTATTCTGGCATTCTGAATTAGCTGAAAGTGGTCTCAAAAATCACATCTCTGATCTTTACTCCTTTTTTTCTAAAACTCCACAAGAACTGAATGAACTAAAATCATTGTTAAAAAATACCATTATTGTCCAAATAGCTCCAAAAAGCTTCCTTCCCTCTGAGGTTTAGTTACAATGTAGAAACCATTCTTTTGGGTTTGGGGTTTCTCTTGTCTTCCTGCTGTCCTTCTCTTTGCCTCTCCTCCATCTCCTTCCCCCCACACCACCACCTCCTGTTTGAAATGTGGCTGTGCTCTTAGCAACAAGCCTTACATGGACTCAAGACAGAAACTGACCAAACACTTTCATCAGTCACTCCGCTCAGTCTACATTCATCTACGGCTGCATCACCATTCCTGCTGAACAAACTCAACCTGCTGTGGTTACATAATGACTGTTGGGCCAGGAAGCGTTGAAAAAGGGAAAGATGTGGCTTGGTGAGAAAGTGAGGACACACAGTTGCTGTGACTCCCACCTACTTACACTCTTCTCTGGTGGGCTGAATATAAACTAGTGAAAGGCTGATGTCTGCGCTCTTGAGGCCAGTAAACAAAAAATGTCCTCAGGCACATCTGCAGGCAGGTTTGTCAGTGTGGCTGCTGGATTCAAGCTCTGTACTGTAACTCTCATGCATCCTGCTATACACAGATACCTTCATTTCATGTACATAAGAATAGAAATATACATTACTTTTCTTTGTCTTGATATCACAATCTATCACATATCTGATCTTTAGTCAGTAAAGCTTTTTCATGCTTTTTAAGATTTTTAACATTTTTGTTGAAGAAATTCATATTTTTAACAGTGGGTTCTCGACATAAAACAAAGTTAGACGAAAGCAGGCTTCTCATTTTTAGTCTGTTGAAATCACAACTGTCGCTGGCAGATTTTACCAACGAAGCTAGCCAGTAAATTAAGCTAACAGTAACTCTGCAAGTTTGTTTCACTTGTAATGAAACAACAAGAAGACTTTTTTTGAGAGTGAGGTCTCTCCAATACGTTTGGTAAACCCAGCACTATCTTACATAGCGAGTTTGTGTGAGACTGCAGAGATTAAATTCCCTAAAATAGCCCACAGAAAGCAAGACAGAGCTGCTATTGTTAGTAACTGGTACTTTAACATAATAATAATAATAATAATAATAATAATAATCATCATCATACATTAGATCAGCTAAACACACTATTTAATCAATTCCTTACACTTTTGCCTGTGTTTTTCTCTAAATAAGAGACGCCACCCTCCAAACTTTTTGTATATTGTCTTTATTTATTCCCTCGGGATAAATAAAGTATTCTATCTATCTAGGTACCCTGCTTAGTGTGTAACATTTAGCCGATTTTGTCTACAGAGGAAGCGGGTCCTCTTCTAGGGCCTTTAGTGTTTTTCGCGAGTTTTGCGGCCGCTGTAGTTTCTCCAACACACTTTGAACGTGAGGGTGAGGCGAGGACGTTGTAATCCAAACAAATGAAAATGTAATGCAGAAACATCATTTTCAGTCAGTTGCCTAACAGTGTTCTTAGGACTTAAGCCACTTAAATGCCAAGCATATGATGTACAAGAATTCCCATGTTGAAAATACAACTTCATGTCTGGATTTGTCTGCGTGTTGACAGTTGGTAGTGAGAAGTGATTAATAATTGGTTTTCAGTATGAACCATTTCCAGGAGAACACAACTGTGGTTCTTTAGTTGGATCTGAAGCTGTCTTGCAACTCATCCCCTCTCCTAACTCACTTTCTTTCTCTGTGTCACACGCACAAACAAAATGTTTGTCTAAGTCAACTCTGCTGAGTGGGCCATAAAGGCTTGTATTGTTGTCCTGTCATGAGACTGAAAGGCCAAAGACAAAGAAAGTAGAAGGGGGTATCAGTGCGCCCAACGCCACATCTCCACAGCTCTAGAACAAAAAAAGATATTTCACTGTAGTCAAAAAGCTAAAGGCACTCATTATCCTAAACCCTCTGTGGTCCAAACACACTGCCAAGCCCGGAGTCCTATTTATAGACAATTCAAAGCATTAAAATCACTGAGGACTTCCATGAGCTACAACAGAAAACATGCACTTAAATTTAAATGAGGAAAAAGTATAATATATCCACAGCTAGAGCAACAACATGGCTTTGATGCTGCATGAGCGAGATCTTACAGGAAATCATCTTTCTGATTATTCTGTACAAAAACGAAAGCCAAGTTTAGTTCTGGGACTTTCTGACTAATCATTCACTTCCAGTATAAAATCTCTTCAGTCAATCAGCCCTGACTCATACAGCTGACTGTCAGGCAGCGCCAACTACAAGCCATTAATTGTCTCCATGAACAAAAGAGAAACAAAAGTTCTATTAGACGCTGAAACAAAAGACAGAGTCGACTCTGGGAAAACCCCCAACATGCAAATTGAAATCAGTGCACTCTAAGAAGAGATTTGTAATTTCTGTCAGCAGATTTGTGTTGTGGTCAATATGTTTGCTCTTCAGCACAAGATGTGGCCAATTGTGAATTTAAATGCTTCCAGTAGCAGAGTGTGTGACTGTTAAACACATGCTGTTACAAGTAGTCCTCTATTAAGATATAATTATGTGATGGAAATGACAGATCCCTTTAAGGAGCCAACACCCCCATCCTGTGACAGAGATTTGAAAACATTGTGCATGATGATGAATGGACAGTGTGATGAAGCAATATAGATGAGTAATATTGTGTCATAAGTGTGACGGCAAAACAGGACCTTGCAATCTTCAGGAGAAATCTGAGTAAGTTATTATGAGTTGGTTCAACAGAAAGAATCCCAATAGAATTTCATCATAATCACATCTTACTAGTAATAAATACAATGGATTTACTACAAATAGAAACTTACTTCCTGCTCTTGAAGCATCCATACATCCCAGCCATGTTGTAAAACTGAACTGAAGCAAAAACTTAAAAGATTCTTTCCCAAAGCAAAATACTTCTTCCTTCTTAAAGAAAATTTGTCCAAGAATGGGATATAAAACCTTCAATTGTCTCACATCCCTTTTTTTCTTCCTGAAAACCAAAGACTTGTCTCTCCTTGCAACAGAGAAGATGCCGCTCCACAACAGATGATCGCTCTCTCTGTCTTCCAAGTCAAACCATCTTCTGAGGTTCCTCCCCCCCTGTTTTGAATTTCCTACAAAGCTCCCTTCTCCACACTCTGGCAGCAGAGGCACAACAGCCACACCAGCACACAACAGCAGCCAATGTGGGATTATAAACAGGATCAGAACATCACACAAGAAGCACTGAATTATAGGGATCTCCTTTTCAAGTGAATCAAGATTTTGAGTGTCTTCAAAAACAGGAAGAAAAAGACGTTTTTCTTACAGAGCTGCGTCTTACAGAATAAGTGTAGTGAAAATAAAATCCTTGGAGTGTCACAACACGCTAGTGAGCTAGAGGGAAAACAAATGACTAAATGACTGACTGAGTGGCTGCTGCATGCCTCCCTCCTCTCCTCCCGGTCACCATGACTGGTAATGCAGAAGAGGGAGGGCTGGAGGAGGGAAGAGGATGAAGAGGGAGGAGTGAGGGAGGAGGCAAAGTGTGAACAAGAGACTGCCCCCCATGACCTCCTTTTTGACTCTCTCCCTCTCTCTCTCTGTTTAGTTTTTGTACAAACGTATTTCTTTTGTAAACTGACCCGGGGCAATATTGTATTTCTCCGATGAATACTTTAAACAGATGCATTGATCGCACTGTTTTGAAGTTGTGTAACTTTAACTGCTATATTGGAGGAACACCACTATAATGATCAGTTAGCTGGAGAAAAAAAGCAGGACTGGCAACTGTGAAAGCTGAACTTTCTGTTATGGTAAGGGGGTAAGTGATGGGAGGAAGTGATATATCTTAGACAATCTCTTATCTTACCTTAGAATGAGTTATTTTTTATCTACAGACCATTTGGTCTGCCGTGTTGAATCGTCATGTTTCCACAGTAGCCCAGAATGGACAAACCAAACACTGGCTCTAGATGGGGACTTTTGTGGCCACCGTAGTTTGCTCCTACACAGTTCACAGCCCGTTCTACATACAGACATCAGCAGTAAAGTGGCAATCTGCAATCACTAGATGCCACGAAAATCCAACACAGAGATCTACTAACATTTCAGCATCTTTCAGCTCGTTGTTTTGGTGAAATGGCAACTTTAACAACACCGTTTTAAATCACTCTCACTGCTCTGATCATTGTTCCAGCTGTAAACTGTAAGCTACCTGCCCCGTACCACACAACAGAAAGTTAGCCACCAGCTGCTGAACAAAGTGGAATATTTAGCTGTTGTATGTATCTATAAACTTAAGTTAAGTTCTGCTGAAAACAGTTTTTGACCAATTTAGTGAAGTTAAGGCCGTATAAAATGTAAAACCCAACTTTGATTGTGTCTAGGGCCATATTGGATTTTATATCCTAAGAGGTCCATTCGGTATAGACTATCCTGGTACACTGTTGTGTTCTACTTTCATATAATGGATTAGCATTTTCAGAATGAATCAATATACAGCACTTAGTGATGACAGCATTGATTCTCTCAGCTGACAGATACTTGTGATGGGACCTCTATAATGGAGGTGGTAGTTTGATTTCAAATGCAACGTATGTAGGCTACCGTGTGCGTCACCACCATTAGCAAATATGGATGTTTAATAAAAGTGGAAACTGTGTCAAAAGTAGTAGGCCTTGTCCAGCAAAAGGGAACTGGTGACGCTCTGGCTCAAGAACCTAGTTTTAAACCATTCAGAGCTAACCAAATTTAATTTGTTCAGAAGAAACTGGTTTTCTAGCTAGAACCAAAACATAGTCAATTCCTTGGGAACCAAAGTAGGTGTGTTGTTGTGCATTGTTCAACGCTCTCTGTTGATGATACATCCTTCAATGGTTGCTGGAAACCCGGGCTGATTCCCTAAAGAGCAACAAGGTCTCTAAGAACCTTAAATGGAATGGAAAAACACCATCTTAGGGCTTTTACAGCAACAGGGAACAGGCTCAGTTCTGGTTCACGTACCTAGTTTTCAATAGTTATGGGAAGGTAAAAAAAAACAAGAAGCAGGTTTTCCTTTAAAGTAGGCGTGTCATACTCTAGTTTTTGTGCATTGTGCAGCGCCTTCCATTGAAGATGCATCCTTGATAACAATGGTTTCACACAGAACTGGTGGAAACGGGCTGGTGTGCTAGTTCCAAGAATCCTGAACCACGGTTCAAGAACCAGAAGTAGAGATTTCAACATGCCTTACTGTGTATTACAATATTAAAAATGTGCAGCTTGATTTAACTAAATTGGCCAACTCCTGCAAGTCACTGTCCGTCGAATGCTGCACAAAAACAGAGCCTCATGTTAATCATTGTATCTGCCTCAGTAAGGGGCCTGGCGGTCGCGCAACAGCCTGTCGCAGCTAATCACTATAAGAAGGGAGCTTATCTACCTACAGCCACTACAGCTCCGAGTGCTTATATGTGTGAGGCTGCGAGGTGACATAAGGGTTGATTCCCTGCTGCTAGATCCTCTCAGACACAATCAAGAGAAGGAGTCAATTTTAGCGAACTGGCCAGTTTCCTAAAATGATCACAGTTAAAAATAATCAGACCTTTTAAATGATCATCTATGACAGGGCACTTCTTCACACGCTTTTTTAGTCCGAGGAGGATGAGTGAGATTTAAAGTGAAAGGGAAATTGTTTTGTCACCCCATAACAGCACTGAACTGAATCCTACACAATAACATAAAGTATGATCTTAATGTCGCTGCAACATTTTCCCATGAAAGCAACATTCAGATCACATTAATCATCAGAACGGCTGTGATAGTGGAATGAATTTCTCAATCTCAACATGCCCAGACTGAATGTTGTCTGTGTGATTCATTTTTTAAATTTCAAACATGTTGAAAGTGATATAAGCCAAGACACCGCAGCATCTGTGTGTGTGTGTGTGTGTGTGTGTGTGTCAGTGTAAACAGAGTCAACCTCTATCAGTTCCAGATCTCAGCAGCTCTATTTCAAAAGCATAATACACAAACACACAGTCGCCAAGATCAGTTTTGGCATGCTGGGATTGAAAAATTCCTTTGCACACACGCACACACACACACACACACACACACACACACACACACACACACACACACACACACACAGCTCGCCATAGAAGTGTCTACCACATGACACTGCCAAGAAACCATCAGGAAGGACCCTCTCAGGGTGAAGTAGGGTTGAGAGAGGATTTCCACCATTTTAATGTATGTGTTAATAAGCGTTTCCACCAATGCATTCAGTGTGGTCTCGGCTTTCCTTGAGATTAATTCCAGGAACCAGAATCCTGGGATTTCCCATCCTGAATCTCTCCGTCTTCGCTGCAGCAGGGATGTCAGACTCTCAGGAAATTGAATAAATCAGTCACATAAATCTACATGTTCTCCCTTTTTTCCATTCAAGAAACAAGTTTGTTACAATTTAGCTTCTCGATGCTGCAACAGCGATAACAAAAGATGTAATATGTGCTGATTTTTTTTTTACAACAAACTTGACCAAAAAAAATGCTTAAAAATCAAAGAAATGTAAAACACATCTAGTCTGGTAAAACTGGGTCAAACCAATTAAACAAGTTAAGTCTAGCCTTCAGCTACCAGAAAGTGGAGAAGGCAGTGACGCAGAGGTTTGATTGAGCAATACAGTACAGACTGATGTTCACAGTGAAGAATTCTTATATTATATATAATGTAATAATATACAATTAAATTATAATAATATAATAATGAGTTTTACATTCTGGGTGTATAAATCCAGGAATTCATGTATGTTAAATAAATACACAGCATGTAGTATACAGGTGTAAAATATCAGGATCTGGACTATATAGAGGCCATTAAATACAGAAAGGCTGTATGACATTACAGAGGCATCACCTCCATAAGAAAATATTTGAAGACGTCATTTTTTATTTGTTATTTTCCTCAACTATGTAGCATGTAGTAACTATGTATGAAAACATGAATGAAACATGAGATAGTTGGATACGGTTAGCGATGACAACTCAGGCCCTGGATGTTCATGTGTGAGGGGGGAGTGGCTTTAGAGGTCGTCTCTTGCTAGTTTCTCCAGCGTTAGAAACCTGCTTCTCATAGCTTTAATGCAATACTTTTACCATCAGACAGCAATGCTATTATGTGTCATGCAATCAAGTCTCTAGCTGAACTTCTGTCTCTCATTTGATGCTGAGGAGATTGTGTATAGTGGCTTTTTTGCAGCTTCCTGTGACTGAAAACACCGCCGATGAGAGTGAACCAAAACAAAGTTCTAGGCTGTAAAACCAAAACAATGAGCTGAAAGATGCTAAAAAACTGTGTAGGAATGTACGATATATATCAGGCTGTTATTTGTTTTTTTTTTTAGGTAATGTTTGGTATAGATATTTGGTTATAACAGAGCTATGGAATATTAAATCATCCATCTTTGCTTATGCCCTATTACTCTTTCTTATCCCAGGTGTATAAAAGAAAGAGGTTATGAATTCTTTTTAAGATACAAAAATGTAAAATTATTATGATATCTTATCAGTATCGGCCATGAGAAGCAGGTAATTATTGGTTTCCCTATCGGCTGATCTGTGCACTATTAGTTGAACTGCGGGGTAATAATTATCTGTAGTTCTGTCGCCACCAGCGACCCCTTCTCACGTAGTCATTTGACCCATTATTATTAGTCACAGCACACCCAATCCTGGCATGTTGCTTTGCTTTTTAAGTTAGAAAATGAACTCTGCTCTGAGTCGTTCGTGAAGGAATCTAAATACGCCCCTGTGGAGGGAGATTTATGACCCCAATGTCAGTATATGAAACACCTGGTTCCTCACTCGTTTTAGCTCCCAAAAATCAACAGGGGGAGTTTTTCAAAACACAGCTATCCAATGTCTCTGACTGCGTATGTGTATGAATTTCTCAATGCTGACACGTCAAAACAGATCCAAGAGCATGGCTCAATTCTTCACGATATGTGTAATGAAATGTGAGTGTGTGTGTATATATATGTGTATATGCACATATCAATCATACAGCTTTCTGTTTATAGAGCCAAGAGGAATGTCGGTCAGTTTCCCTTCGAAGAAAAAAAAAGAAGTGGATGTTGGTATTTCCTGAGGCAGCCCACTGAAAACGAGAGAGGGGGGAGAGAGAGAGCGAGAGAGATTGACACCAACTGGAAGACAAAGTGGAGGTCTCTCCTATCAATAATTATTATTGTTTGTGTATCTGCGTGAAGTAGTGGATTTATTTTTACAGCTTTTAACTTCATGTGCAGAGCTATCTGAATTCCAGTAAAAGTGCAGCCAATAGGAGGATGTTTCTGATTGCTTGATATACAGTCGGTTCGTCATGTGACTTAAATAACCATAAAAAACATTACAATCATCTTTTAAAATAGTTTTTAGTGAATACGCACACGCACGCACGCACGCACGCACGCACGCACGCACGCACGCACACACAC